AGCGTATACTGCAGGGACAAAGCTGTACCCGCCTCTCCGTCACACAGCCTGCTTTCAGCATGCAGTCGTGCACGCATGCTTCATGCGCACCCACCCGTCAATATTTAAAGATAAGAAATTCTCCTCACTCTCACCTGAATCAGGATGCCCGTAATGAAAATAACGCAGGATATCGAGAAAGTGCGGCGACGGCCAACCATGTCACAAATGTATCCCGCGTTCAAAGCCCCAAAAATGCAAAAGAAATTCATGGAACCTGCCGGGTAGTTGTCCATTCGTGAGAAAAAAATTTCAGAGGTGACAACACCGCATAAAAGGTAGCTTCTTCGCGTTTGAGGAAGGAAAAAAAACGAATGAGAATAACCGATCCCACGTTCCTCTTCCAGATAGGACCACACAATCCTCATAAGATGTTGAGCGGTCCGAACGTACCAACATAGAAGCTAAGGTCCCAGGATGACCACTCGAATTCTTCCTGCATCAAGAGTGCCGCGCCTCCGACAGAACCAACATCGTAGCCTAGATTGCAGCTATTTAAGCAGGCCATGGCCGCCACGAAGTAGGAATATTTGGAAGGAGGCGGATGAGTGAAGACATTGTCACTCAACGTCGATTCAATGCGTGATATTGATGATGAAAGACTGGAGCCTCGGGCGTCTTGTAGAGATGTCGGTGGAATTTCGGGGGACGAAGCCTCTCCGTCTGGTGGCACGTTGGCGGAGGGTTTTGTATCGGCAACATGTACAACAGTATCTCCTTCTGATGGGTTTACTGACGAACTATGCACGTATACAGCCACATTTTCACTCGTGCCTTGAGGCATCCCGGTGTTGGGGCCAACGAGGGGTGTTTTTTAACTTCACCAGCTCCTCAGAAAGCGTCTTTCAGCGGCTTGGGTTTCAGTTTAGTGGCTGGTGTCAAATGTGTGGTGACCCAAAAAACGTTCGTTAGAGAACCAAGTATTACGCGTTACTGATGTGTTGGTTAAAAACCAGGTAAGAGACATGACCTTCCTCACGAAATAACTATGGGTACGTCCCTCAAGAAATTTTTCTCGCAATGTTCGGTTGCAAGGATGTTGGTACTGTCGTGCTTCCAACGGCAGACCCATGGTCTTGCTGAAAGAGCTTGCCATGGGAGTTCTCCGGCATCCCATCTTCATTGCATCCGAAAACATAGCTTAAATTCTAAGGCATATGTGTACAACTTTTTGGGTAGTTTTCACGCACATGCGTGTCTTTGCGGGCTGGCGTATGTGGCAATGGTAAAAATTGCGCGAAGATCCCGTGCGGCACGTAACGTCACGCACATGTCCTTGCGAGCCTGGGGTGCATTTTGACGCTAGACTATCCCGACACATACAAGCAGTCCTATCAATTAATGGTATGCGTCCCAAATAAATCAACAAAATTGAGGGAAAATACATTAGTGAGCTCGTATAGTAGAAGTAGGTGGATGCCGCCTTGTCTTTCCTCCCCCCTGCCTCGCCCGTCGTCCCATGATTGGACCGTCCCTTTCTCGGAACCTGGACATGTAAGCATCAACGTGTACTGTAATCCAATTTGAACGGAGCTTCTTAGTTTCTGTGTAACATGCAGAGTGGCGTGCCATTTTTAGTATGCAAATCTTGTAAAGTAGAACAAGGTCGCTGGGTTTGTAACGGAGAGCACGCACGGTGACTGTGGCACCTTCATAAAACCGCTGTTTGTTTAATTACTTTGCCGTAAATCCACCTTTCCGTATCTGTGACTATTCCAAGAGTTCACTTTACTCTCCTGGTCGAAGTCGTCATTATCAAAGGGCTATTTGCTGCCATGTTTCTGTCTTTCACCAAACCATGCAACAACTGCGACCTGTCTGTTTTTGTACTCAGCGCCGCGTACCGAATGCCTCAAGAGTCGGCAGCCACATAGTCCTTTGACAACAACCACGCGACGACATCATCGGACCATTGCGGAGAAAGCGCCGGATTGTGGGCGGCCCCGCGCATCCACCAAAACTCTACCTGGCTCCCGCCCTTACAGACCCATCCTGTCACTTCCGTTTCCCTTCCCTCCAGCTTGCAATTGTGGTCTCTCCATTGATCATAGCCCTCGTTATCGTCGAAAGGTCTCGAGGGGTCACAGTCATAGTCCCTGCTCGTCTCCAAATGAGGGGCGGCGGGGCAACGATCCACGGTTGTCCAGTTCCCTACGACACTTGCACACAACTCCGCCTTCACAATCACGTCCTCAGAGGCGCATACTTCCAACACAGAGATGGGGTGGGAGGGTGCGCACACACTGGGGATTTCGCCCGGGGTGACGCTGGCGATGGCCGCGAAGAGTTCCCCGTGCTCACAGGCCAAGATCTGCGTCATGGCCCCGCCGTTCGAGTGCCCCAGCATGTAGACCCGACGAGGGTCCACGTCGAGAGTGCGGATGGCCTCTTTCACCAAACTCGTCAGGTACGTCACGTCGTCGGGGCCCTGATGATCGAAATCGCAACAGCGAATCCCGTTCCAGAAATGCTTGCCTTCGCTGTTCACGGTCCCATTCGGCAAGAGAGCCAGAAAGCCACCATGTTGGTTGATTCGCGCGCTGAGCCCCAAAAAATGGTCGTGATAGGAGGCATCAGACCCGTAGCCGTGAAGCATCATGATCAAGGGCCAAAGTTTCGCTCCTGCTTGGTCCTCACTTCCATCTTCCGATTGATCGGCGGGATAGTTATCGGGTAGAACGACGCGAGCCGGTCTCTCCGACTCCTCCGCCAATGTTATGTACCTTGGGACGAGCCTTACGTGCTCTATCGTAGGCTCACTGTTTTCTGTCGTCACTTTGTACACTTCCTCCGTTGTCTGAGAGGCTGCTGCACCACGCCCACCTGCAGGATTGTAGTGCTCATTCACAGTATTCTTGATTTCCCCCTCTGATCCTACATCATGCTCTTTTGCCGCGAAAGGCGCTTCAAGCTCACCCATGCGGACCTTTGCGTCCGGAATTAGACTGAACGCCTCCAAGGCACGACGCAACCGGTGAGGTGGGGGAGATGTAGGCGTGCTTGATGTGCAAGCCACAAGAAATCCCGCAAGAAAACTGCCGGCAATCAGAACGTACAAACGACCCATGACTCTGAAAGGGAAGAGAGGACGAAGCCAGTGAAGGAGGGAGCCAGAATTATTTCGTTGACAGACAATCAAATGGAAGGGAAACTGTAAAGACAATTGGCGGTATCCTGTATTCATTATGTTTTATGGGGAAAAGATGCTTCGACAGTGGCCTCGATATCAAAGGTCCAAGACGTTTATGTAATGAATGTACTAGGACGGGGGGGTAGGGCGTAATATGGGCCAACGTAAACTAGTAAGAAAAAAAAGGTCAAAGCACTCAAAAGACAGTTGAAGTTTTCAGGTACCACGCTGTTCATTCCATGCCTGCAAAATAACGTGTATGCCATCACAACCACGCTTGGTACTGACTATTGGGAGGAAGGAGGAAGACCCATGGCGGGTTGATGCGCTTTCCTTCAAGCCGGCTTAGACCACTGGAGTCAGAGGAGAGTCACGCGCACGCCAGCCACCTTGTCCATTTACTTCCTTGGCCATCCTAACTAACGCCAGGACGACTGTGACGGGCACATTTCAATTGATATGCCCCGATCCGAGTTTGTTGGCGTTAATTTGTCGTAAGGCTGCCCGGTAATGGTGGTACGAGTGAACGCGTCCTCCACTCAAGCCGACCTGGCCGTCACGATACGATGCTTGCGGTTTTCAGGCCTTCAATTTCAACAAGTGCAACCCTTTTCTGGTGTCGAAAATCCACACAATAGGTTACAGGACATTATTCCTAGGCCGTGGAAGGGGTATAAGAGGAGATTGTGGGCCTGCTTCCCTGATCTTTGGGTCCTAAATACCTTCCTGGTGCTCCTCCCTTGCCCTGCCCCTTGGTGCATTGGTTTTCCAGTCCCCTACCTCACAAAGGTAAGACCAAGCACTCTCAAAAAATCATTTCTGCCTTTCTTTTAAAAATTGCAACCCGTGTACTTATACCAGGAGGTCCGTGGTGCGAGTGTCGGGTTTTTTGTTCTTTTCTTTCTTGGAACTCTTTCAAGTCCGTGAGTCCTTTTAATCCTCCTGCCAGGATTAGGGATAGGGCTAGTACCCCTCAAAACCCCGCTTTCGCCGTGACCTACCATCCTCATACGTCCTCCGCACTCATTACAACTATGAGCTTCGTTTTGTATCCCACAATTGATTCCTCTTCGTTTATCTCCAACATAGCCGACATCACTCCAGGATGTGTCGTCTCACAGCGTACATTGGCACGCCCATCGTAGCTGCCGATCTCGTGACTCGCCCCAACCACTCCATCATCACGCAATCTTTCGCCGCACGCGAGCGCCTGTGTGAGACGCACTACACACCGCCCTGCATCAACGGGGATGGCTTCGGGATCGGGTGGTACTCCTCTGACATGTCGGAAGACCCCGAGCCTTGCATCTACCGCAGTACCCGACCGGCGTGGAACGACGAAAATTTGATGCAACTTTCAGAAAAAATACGTTCTCATCTCCTGTTCGCCCACGTGCGGGCCGCGACCCCTGGCTCGGTGGTAGCCGAGCGCCTCTGTCACCCTTTCCGGTGCGGACGCTACCTGTTCATGCACAACGGCAATGTGGGTGGCTTCGACCGTGTCCGTCGACGGCTGATGGATCGACTCAACGACGCCTGCTTCGAATTCGCGGTGGCGAACGGGGCGAGCGACACAGTCGTGTGTTTTGCCCTGTTTTTGAACGCCCTGCCCGACCACATGGCCGTGGTCTCCCCTGACGTGCTCCGGCAGAACATGGAGGGCGTCGTGGCCCTGATCGTTCGCACCTGCCAAGAATGCGGGGTGGAGGAAGCTTCCTTGTTGAACTTTGTCATCTCGGACGGCCTCATGCTCCTGGCCACCCGTTTTGTCCACGACCCGAAATCCCCCGACTCCTCGCCAGCCTCGCTCTATTTCGGCGCGGGCACGGCGTACGAACGCAAGACGACCACCACGGCTGGCCCGGGGGGAGCAGTGGTGGCCGGGACGGGAGGAGAGTACGGCATGACCCACACTGACCGGCGGATCAAAGTCGTGATCGCCACCTCGGAGCCTCTCTCGGACAACCACACGGACTGGGTGGTGGTCCCGCCCAACAACATGCTCATCGTCACGCCCGACCTCCACCTGCTTCTGGCCCCCCTGGGGGCCTCGGACGCGATGGGCTTTGCATTGGAGAACATCATGTCGATGGAACGACGGCTTCTGCCGATCGAACTCCAGGATACGCTGGGCCCGGTGGCATCTCGAGCGGTCTTGGGGAGGGAAGGAGGCGAGCCCAGGGTGGAAACGGCGCGCCCTGCGTCCTTGTCCCCGCGCAAAAGGCTGGAACCGGGGGAGGAAGGGGGGGAGGAAGGGGGGGAGG